ACACAAAATAGTGACAAATAGTGTCTTGCTCATTTGCATTCAAGCGAACAGAAGTTAAATTATTTATGCAGTACATATGTTATAAAAAAGTCATTCGCTTGCAAATGTGTATCTGTGATCTCATTGGAATGCGTTCCTAAGCATCAGAAGCACAGGCATGTGCAGATCAGATGCAGCTACGAGTAGTATGAAATAAGCAAGCGAATCAAATTAGAACAAGAAGACAAGTTTATCAACTTTAATTATTTTATAAACACCTTTTATTTTGAAAAAAATTAAAATGTATTTTCTGGATTGTTTATTTATTTATATTTTCTTATTCACATTCTACGTCATTGTATATACATTTTAATCATAACATTTTGTTTGTTTGCACATATTTTTCTTTATATTAATAATTGATATTATTAAATTAGCTTTGATTGTTTTATTCTTGTATATAAGTATCATGGAATTTTAATTTACTTAGACTTGAAAATGACGTTATGCTAACATCGAAAACGTCATCCATTAAAATGTTTTTTAAATATAGATTTTTATCGGTGAATTTTGTAACCAAATTATATTGTAATGCACTATCAATTCTTGATGAGAGTGCAATTTTAATTAAACACCTAAAAGTTTGCAGTCATAACATATAACTGATAATCAAATGCATTGGCCAATTTCATACCGTGGGAGACTGGGTACAATCCCTTAATTCACAGGATGGTGGAATAAGACTTAATATATATAAGGAAAGATCGCACTGTAAATAAGAAACTCAAAAAGTTTGGTGTTAATTGGATCAAATGTAAACAATTAGCAGCTTTTCAAAATTTCTAGATTTTACTAAGGAAAGTATGGGAATTGAGAAAAATAAGGACGCAGCATCCATCATTCTATACATTTCTTCAGAAATTCTAGCATTTTTGAAAGACTGATACTGGTATAGCCATATCAGTCAAAGCATGCTTAAAGAGGATTCGAAACAACAAAAAAAGATAACTGAAGATAACTTTTTGATGATCCCTCTGAAAAAAATGTTTAGTAGGATCATTGCACTAAAAATTGTTAAATTAACCAGACATGGTACCGTACTGTTACTATATCCTATCTGTTGTTTACATGAACTTTCATAACGTTTTAACCTAACTATCGGTAAATTAGCAGTAAATATTGAAACAACATAGCACAATAACCTTTCCTCTCAATTTTGAGCTTCATATGAAATACTTTTTATGTCAAACGGTTTTAAAAAATCCAATTTTTCCGTTTTCCGGGTGGGGGGGGGGGGGGGGGGGGATATTTGCTATACAGGGGTGTGCGGCCAACCAGGGTATCATTCATTTTCAGCGATTTTACTCTGGAACTGGGTATCGTTTTTTAGTGATTTTACTCCGAAACTGGGTATAGATTTCAACGAATTTTCTCTAGAACAGTGTCAGGGTTTAATTCCGGAATTATTGATGCTAGGTTAAAATCCACGGGGTAAGGGTTTTGAAGTCCCAGCGGCACACCCCCAGCCAAGTTGGGGGGAGTATCCCCCTAGACAATTTTTAGAAAGATTATATGAGCTAATTAGCGTTTTTGCCACTTAGCATCTTTGAATGCTAATAACTCATAAACTATTCACGCAAAGACCTCTAACTTTCGTAGTTTATAGTTCTTAACCAGACCCTGTATGCAAGGTTTACACGTGCCCTTTGTTGCACATGATGTTGTTAAAATCATTAGTAAATAAGTCCTTTTAAAACCTTAATGATACAAAATAAAAACTGATTTGATCCATTGAGCCTTGCCAAGATATATGTGATTCTTGAGATAAAATTTCAGCTGTATCCACCTTTGCGATTCTGCAGTATAATGGTAGAGTCAGATTTATATATATATATATACTCATCAAAATGACGGATGAAACAGTAGTAGTGTGCAGTTGAAAATGTGAGCGAAAGGGATTATGTGTAGGCTATGGCGTTCCAAATATACAATGTAATGTGATTGGCCACTGGATATATAATTCAAAATGTGATTGCCTACGAAGATGTTATGTATTATCAATGTTTGTAAATGTATGCAATATTGCTGTATAGTTAATCTCTCACCTGTTGTGAAGGGGACTAACTAGAAAACTGATAAGTTAATTTAGTCCTCTGTCTCATCTATACCAAATTAGGGAAACTTAAATTTAGATGTCACATATTTACATATACCTAATACATTGCAAAAACTGTAACAACACTTGAAGGGAGAAATAAACTATTCTAACTATTCTAACTATATAATTCAAAATGTGATTGGCTACGAAGATGTACCGAAGCCAAACTTTCGACATTGTGCATGTGCAAAAAAACTGACGACTAACCAAGAAGATCCAAGAAAGTAGCAGCATTTTACTATGCATCCCCTGCATAGCAGCACACATGTGAATAAGCCCTTTTATGTTATCAACTTATTTTACGGGTTTTTTTAATTTAAACTTTATGCTCATTGTCAAAATTTTTAAACAAAGATCCGCCTATAGACAGTACCTTWCAGGATCCTGCAGAAAGCATTATAGCTTGATCGGTTAAGTTAAGGTAATAATGATATAGATTACTAAAATGTTTTCCACGTTTTGCACACACTAAACACTTCTTCCAAGCAACTCACCTTATCCCCACGCACTATTTTCCATTCTTCAACTTTTGGTATTGGTTTTCTCTTTCCCCCTCGCTTTACACGTGGAAATCGACGAGGACGAACCCTAGCAGCACCAAAAGCATTCCAAGGGATAGAAGACATATTGCGGGCTTCAGTCTACGTTACACAAAGAACGAATTTCTTCCAAGTCATTCAGTGTGGATGTTTGAGGCCGGTCCACATGATGACCCAAGTTGGATGAGCCCACAGTACTTGATGACAGAAAACAGGAAGCCCAAATTATTTGAACTGAGAAGAGSTGGGGGCCTCATCTACAATTTCTTTTGTTGGTGTATCATACAGTCATGCATATGAATAATATCTATTTCTATATATWTTTACGCAGGGATTTTACAAAACGGGGAGGGGGGCACTTGCACCCCACCAGCATTGGATCCGCCCCTACTATATCTGTGGACAAAGCCCAGCCGAGGAGAGCAAAAACCAAGTACTCATTCATTTCTCATGACTGCTTTAGTCGGTGGCACTTGGTGCTTTCCTCTTTAACAAACAGTGTCTCTTTGGTGGCAACGACCATAAAATAAAATTTATAACMTGTATTAATCTTTTGGAAAAGACGCCTTAAAGACGAAGAACCGGAGAACTGAAAGAAACGACTTTCTCTTCCTCTTCTTCTTTTTTGAAATAGCGTAGTTGGTTGTTGTCCGTAGCAACCTACTAAGAGCAAGTTATAACCCTTACACCTGTTGCCATTCATTAATATTCAGCATTACCTCATCGGTAAAGAATGCTATTAATATGCTATTCCTAGACACGTATTCTTGAATTCCATAAACAAGAAAACTTGGTGATCGGTAAAATGTCACTTGAACATCCTAAATTGTATTTTGTTTCTCACATTTCTCACATTTACTCACTCAAGTGCTGATGCGGTATCTTTTTTAAATTGCATATTCGTTCACTGRTATTAACAGCTTGAAAAAGCAATGGGTATGATTTTCAATACAAACCAAATTCTTTTCTCATATGCATTCGCTTGTCCATTCATTATCTTTGCGTTGAAGTCATCGCTATTTTTAGAAGCAAGCKAACCGAGAGAAACCACTAAAGAATGAACAATACTTTGATTGGTCAATTTTTCACAATCTGTCCAATCATGATGTCTTTACCGTTTGCGATACCCATCCGAGCTTAAATCGATTGGATGTAAGAAAAAAACGAGTTGACATCGGTTTCCCAAATGAAAACAGTTTGGCCGCCGCATCGCTGAAATGASGAAAGCTAGTGGAGTAGGCATACTATCTTATACACTCTAACAGCACAAAAAATAATTGAGACTTTTGCTTATCGTGACACTGCCTAACCATGGTAAGTTGGGGTGAGTTTGAGMAAGTTTTTGAGCCAAACTCAATTTTAATTGATTTTATTCGCAGCCTTCGAACTATCATTGGCAGAGTAAAGGCAATGTCAAGTCCAGTGGTGTGGAGGATATGGTCCTCTTGCCCAAGATACAAGAGGCGTCTATCGTGGAAAATCTCAAGAAACGATACATGGACGATTTAATATTCGTATCCTTGCAKTATGGAATACTATTTATCGTCATTTTGTTGATCAGATCTGAGGTTATTAAAATTGTTCTGTTACTAATAAATTTATTAAGCTTAAATTCCTTTGCCTTCCTGCAAGCAAACAAGAGCAGAAGTTTCGCTTTTTATACTTCCGTTATTTCGCATTGATGCAAATCAATTTTTTTTAGGTWTATGGCTTGGTATATTGAAGCTATTTTGATACCCTATGGCATAGTTTTAAGAAAACGAAGGCTTGCTAATACCAGGTCTCATGTGAASATTGGTTATGTTGAAGGTCGGATAACCTTCAAGTTAAAGCACTCGTTATTAAGAAATTAAGTTAAGTTACTTATATTCTTAAACTTATAAACACGGTCGATTAAAAGGACACTATGTTTATTTGAAGAGTTTAACATTTTATCCCAAACAATTATGACCTCATTTAAATGCKAAGTGGTGTTATGGAGTCGTTCTCTTTGGTTGCTTGTTTAGGTTTGTCTGTTGTAGGCGTTCCTGCACCTTCAGCAGCCAAAGAGTTTTCGTCGCGGAAGCACTCATATTTTTACCGTATTTGAAGTAGTTAGACCATATTCTTGGTCATTGCCTTGAATTCGTTAATTTATYTCATCTCTATTTTTTCGAACATGTTCTTCACTTAGTTTCGTGCACCTCCGAAAACTTTAATCTAAAACAATTCTTATTATTAAGATAAGCAGTGGTCGAAAATAACATAGCTTATAAATTGGAGGAATTCCAATTTGTCGAAACGTATATGCATAGGTCATTGCCAAACTGAARTATACCATATTTCCTTTCTGGGGATTACAGTGAATATATGAATTTCATTAGACCTTGACATTGTTGTAGACCTACATTGGACCAGTGTTAATATCTGTGAATCCCTTTAAACAAATGCCATACTTTACAGATAAAGAAATTGACATGTACCAAGGAGCTGTAAGTAGAAGTTAATTGTAAAATATGTCAGTATTGCCATGGTTCTTTCTTTTCCAGCAATGAGAAGGAAATGTATCAAATGAAAAAAAATATTTTGTAAACAAGGCCAGTTTGAGACATTGGTTGTTTTTAGAGCTAAGGACATAGGCCGCCCAACTAATGCATTAGAGACAGAAAAGAGCGAATGCGCACGCTTTTATTATCTTGTATATGTATCGGCGCGCGCTCTTAGCAAAAATGCGGGTTACCTGTGGTATTACGTCACTATCGCGCGCCTCACGGGATACAAACTAGTCTGTGACAAGGTATGAAACACTGGTCACGTGATGGATCGATGTGTGCACCAGGTATCGTGTCCTCCCCTCCCTACCTTTTTTCATTCGTGAAGACTTCGCGACCCATCGTAAACGATCGTAAACAATCGTGAGTTTCTCGAGGCGAAAAAAAATGTCAAGGATAAAGCTTTAAAATTCAATTTTCTTTAAAAAACGGAAAGGAAACATACAGACAAGAAGCAAAATTAACAAAAAACACAAACAATATGAAAGGTTTTCGAGGTTTTCTAGTTTCAAACGACTATATTAGCTATTAATTGACTTTCCATTTTGATAGTAAAACAATGAAAAGCTTTATAAATCCTTAGCTTTATTATCTCTAAGTACAAGAAATAGACATATTTTGAACAAGTTTATTATTCATAGATCTTAATTACCTTGGCCTGAAACTACATAGCTTGAGCAACTTCTAAAAATGTGCTTTGAAACCGCATCGCGAAAAAAAAAATGGTTAGGTTGAGTTGAAGCGACTCAATTCAACCGAACGAATCATTTTCGGGTTTTCAAACATCAAAAATCTCTACATAACAAAATTCATTATCTAAATAATCCGAAATAAAGCAGTGAAACGTAAAGGTTTCATAAAATGTAATGGAAAGTTCTCAAAACTGCCAGTGGTTTGCAAGAAAAAAGCCGATGATTTCATAGAAACTAACAAAGTGCTTGACATACCTCTCAAAGTATCAGGAAAAGATCTCTAGTTTCAACTAGTCCCTCATTCAAGAAAGCTTGCTTTAACTGCATATGGGCATAAATTTAAGTCTTATAAGCTTAAACTCAAGTAAAAATCCACGTAAGTTATGAACTTTTCTGCTCCATTTTTCGAGTTTTTGAAATGAGCAAGAGTCTTCAATAAGATCTTTGCCTTTAAAATAATTGTTCCTCACAATGTACTGTCTCATCTTTTGCATGAAGTCTCAAAGTTTCAGGATATTGGCATAAAGCTTCCCATCAAAAACTGAAAATCAGCCTAAGACCAACCAAGTAATTCAGGACACGAATCGGACACGAGCGAATGCACGGTAGCGGATGACCCTCGGAAAAATCTCGACTGTTTACGAAAGGCCTCGAAGTCTACCCGAATGAAAAAAGGTAGGGAGGGGTGGACACTATACCTGGTGCACACATCGGTCCACGGCGAGTAAAATGCTTATTGTTCATTTTCTCGTCGTGAAATTAACATTTCAAACTGAAAATCATGAGATAATTAAGAAATCTGACGATGTATTGCTATTTGAAAGAAAATTGTCGATTTCTTTTGTTTTTCGGTTAAAAAGGAGCAAAATTATATTTGTCACGTGACCAGTGTTTCATACCTTGTCACAGACT